TGGTAGCTGGTACTCAACTGACAGAATCTACGTGTTATCATTCATATGGATTGGTGACCAGTTTAAAACTGAAGCTATCAAAATACTCACTGGCAAAATCCTCTCAAAATGTAACCTCTGATGATGTTTTCTATTCTTGCGTCATAATTAGGATTACGGTTATGTTTACGGTTAGGATAAGGGTTGTAATTAGTGTTAGGATTAAAGTTAGGATTACTGTTAAGTTTATGGTTAGGGATAGATTTAGAGTTGATGCCATTTATTTTAATTTGTTTTATTATCCACATTTTTCTGGTAAGTATTCTCCAATCCTCTTACTGGAAGCCATAGTAAATGAAATGAGGGCTTTCAAGGAAGACTGTACAACAGGATAAGACAGATGAACGATTCAAAAAAACAGCTCATCTCCAGTCACCTCGGTTATTACATGTACAGAAACTAGTCCAACTTAGCAACTCATACTCCTCATTAGAACTGGAATGTATTTTTAAGTCATGTCAGATTTTGTGTAAAAATTCCTCATTTTTATGATTGGTCGGCTGAAGGTCACTCGAGCGTTTGCATCCCTTGGGACGCTATTGTTGATCTTTGCCCATACCTCAGTGGTTGAATGGATAACAGACTCACTTGAAGGTTCTGGGTTCGATTTCCATTTGCTTTATAGGTGCGAACTGCTGAAGACTAACAAACACAGTGAGGCGGCCAGGTCATCCATGATCCAACTTGATAATGTATAAATTCCTCAGGTAATAATATTAATAAGGATTCATCCATTTTTACCAAACGAACAATTTTCTCTCATCAAAATATTCAACTGAAATAATCTTCGATTTTCCTAAAAACTATGTTTTAAGGATTTTTATTTCAAAGAAATTGTAATCTACTACCATTCATTTTTATGAGGTTTAGTTTATTTTTAAAAACTTTTCAGTTCATTTTCCTCTTAATTGTTTTTATAAGAGATAAGTGACATTCTGTCAAAATATTTTCATTTCGAAGTTCAAATTTTTATCGATTTACCATTTGTGTTTTTCAAGAAAGATGCGTATTGTTAATCTGGTCACGGAAAAATCCTGTCATTTTTTCTGCAAAGTGATTTGATTCATTTCTGCTAATTATTTGGTCATGATAAATAAATAATAATATCAAGTATTGATTTGCTGGGATTTTATTGGTTACAGGTTTGACTGCAAGTTGCCATTGTTTAGGGAAACATTAGAGAACCAGCTGGGAGTAGTGAACAGTTGCTTTGTCCTAGTTCGAGACTTTTTAGAAGTCCTCATCCATTGGGGTTCAAACCCAGGAGTTTCCAAGAATATTTTTGCGTAACTGCCAGAAAATGCTATATCGGACTAATTGACCTCTTACCTGACCACGTGACCCCAATGGTTAAGAATTCTGACCAGAACTCCAGGTGAACTCCTGTATAGAGAGCTGTACATATATATATGCCACGAATTCATAGGCCATTGGATCGGGTCCCAGTGGCTAAATAGTGTATGAGCTCGCCTTGTAACTGGAAGGTCCCAGGTTTAAACACTGGCAGTGCGTGCATATTTCTGAAGGCTTCCCCACTAGGGGATCAAAAAAGCTGTCCATTACTCGCGGTCGGTTTTTCAGTTGTTCTGTTATTGATGTCAACTCGTGATAAAACCTGCAAACAAATAATAGTGTCTTCTTAGGCACTGTTTTTTGACTAAGGGCGGTTTCTTTCTTGATGTTTCTGTCGATAAACCTTCTAGGATATCCATTGTTTAAGAGAGCGGAGTACACTATCTTCAACAGTTGGTTATCTCTGGGAAGGAAGAGAAATCTCATCTGTTCTGTATGCTCCGGAATTCGGAAGACTTACTCTGTAGATACGATCGACTTAGAATTAGAAAGCCTTCGTACATCTATCTGAAATAATGGATATCCTGGAAGGTTTATCAAGTAAGTAACCATCCTTAGCCAAATTACAGGGCCGAAGAAGATGCTGTTTATGAGTTTGGCTTTCAAAAGTGACAGTATTTCTGAAATAATTAAAAGTCATTTATCTAAATGTATTAAACGGTGTTTTTATGCAAATAAATAATAGTTTATACTAAGTGAGAGCTATTCTACTGACGATAGTTTCATGGACAAAAAGGAAAAACACAGAGTGAATGGAAATAACTACCCCGGTTATTTTAATCACTGTCAGTCATCATTCAACAGGATCAGAAAGCAAGACACACCTTAATTGATCTGAAAATAGAATTACCTGATGAACAACAACAACAAGTGCCAATCACTGTCAACAGGAGAATTTTAAATGTGGTCACTTCCTGCATTTATTTGGCCTGTGTAGTATCAATTGCAGGCGGCACCGACGAAGATATCAGGGACAGTATCGGATAAACCAGACAGGTATTTATTCCTCTGTACTCAATATGAAGAACAATATCCGGATTCTCAACACTAATGTCAAGTCATTTACTCTATATGGTTCAAGGACTTGGTGAGTCACTAAAAGGATTTCCAATAAGCTTCAAAGTTTCATCAATGGCTGTCACTGTTCCACGATGAAGTTCAGATTGCGGGCCAGAAAGGATTGGCAACAGGAAACTCTGGCAGTTAGTGGAACGACCTAAGAATCCATAATCCCAATTGAGTCGTATAAAAGAAAAGGTATTCAGCAAAGATTTACTTTTTTCGGCGATATCGTTCTCAACCTGTACAATCGCGCATATATATTTACTTAATATTCTTAGCAACAAAATGAATATCTCCAAAGATTTGTCATTAGAATTGGAAATTTTATATAGTGAATCATGTAATGTACAAAGCGTTATTCGGGTAGAAACTAAAATAAGATTAAATAAGCAAGTTGAGTGACGTAATCTAAGTGACGCGGTTGATCAGAGCTCAGATAAGATTAAAATTGGACAAAAGTCAAGTTACCAATAGTGGTAATGTGGTGGTAACCTCAACCGCCCACATTTCCTGTTCCCAGAAAGCGTCTCTACTTGAATCTAAATTTCAACGGAGTCTTACCAGTAGAAATACTGATAAACCGCGTGTGTCGATCACTGAAGAAAACCTTCTTCGCAGCTAAACTCCGAATAACTTTTTCCAGAAAACTGGTGATTCGTATGAAAGTGAAGGATAAGCTACCAATGTTGGGCTCATAAGTGTGCATCTACCAATCCAGCTCCTCCTGTGGAGCTACGTATGTCATCCGTACTCAGCGTTTGCTGTCCAAACGTATCACCGAACACTTAACCTTATGAATTTATAAAGGAGAAACAAGGACCCCCGAAGCACTTCTCTGGAACAATTGGTTGAGCCAGGACACCAAGCAAACCCACAAAACAACTTCAAGGTCATCTAAAGAATACGTGGTAATCTCGCTAAGACAGTACGAATCAAACTTATTCAAACCACAGAAGCAATGATGGCAATTCACAAGTAAAACACCGGACTCTGTGTACAAAAGAAGTTTGTTGAGTCATTCAATCTACTGTGGACCTAACTTATGTTAACACCAAATACGTAATCTTTGTTTCGTATTTTTCTTGCTAGATTTTTTCTTAATTGTGTAATATTTCCCCCACCCCGCCCCTTATTGAATTTCTACTCCTTATTACCACTGTTGTTAACGTGACTTACGTTCAGTTTTAATCTTAGTTGAGCACTACTCAACCCCGTCAATTGGATTACCTCACTCAACTTGCTTATTTAATCTTATTTTAGTTTCTAACTCATTCATGAAATTTGTTATTTAAAATTTACATTTTCAACAACACAACCCTGAAAATATTCCTTTTGTTGCAAAGACAATTTACTATATGTATCCAATTGTACAGGTTTAGAATAATATCATCGAGAAGAGTAACTATTTGCTGAATACCTCTCAAGAAAACGGAAGTGGATTGAAGACATGCTAAGGAGACCGTTGAGTGATTTCGTCCGTCAAAAACATTATAGTGGAACTCGAATGAGAAACGACACGGATGATTTGGTATAGATAGTGTGAACAGGAAACAAAAGCTTGTAGGTAGGTTGCGAAGCCAATTTAAAAAGACTCTAGAGTATAGGATGAACTGGTGATGCATAGCTAATGCCCTATGTTCCACTCAGTACTCAAGGGAATAATAATAATAATTATTATTATTGTATCCTTTAGTTCCTAGAGGAACATAGGGCTTCAGCTTCGCACCTCCATTTCCTTCGGTTTTCTGACAACTTTTTCACCCTGCTCCAGGTCTGTCCACATGCTTTCATCTCCTCCTCTCATGACCTCCTCCAAGTCACCCTTGGACGACCAACTCGCCGCCTCCCTTTCGGGTTCCACTCGAGGGCTTGTCTAGTTATGTCACTTGATGGTTTCCTCAGCGTATGGCCAATCCATCTCCATTTCTTTCTGCCTATTTGTTTCACAATCTGGAATAATAACAGATCATTATATTCAGGAAATGATTTTCTGTTATTTCACTTTCTCGTGGAATCCAACATAAAAACAACAGATATACTGAATTGTCTAGAGAGTTGTGTAGAGTTCTTGAGACAGAAAGAGTTGCAGAGACTAGCTTAAAGAGTGACAAAGTGAGAGAAATGACAATGGAATACAATTAAAAATCACTTTAAAATAAGTAATGGTATTATACGTGTATACGGAATAGCCAATCAAGACAGCCTTATTTTATTCAAGTAAGACACTATGGACCTCCTGTATATATCAAGCTGGCTGTAACAGTATGCAAATCCAACAAACTTTTTTTTCTAACTACTGGTGTAACAACAGAAGACAAGGGCGAAGCAACAGATCGTTTTATTATGAAAATCAACACGTATTTATACATATTTCAACTACATTATTATAGACAAGCGCAGTCATCTGATTGGTTGTTTATCAGAAGTTAGGTAGACAAACGCAGGCTTCTGATTGGTTGTTTCGGGATTCCTTGACAAATAGAGTTCTCTATCTGCGAATCATATTTTGCCACGTTAACTTTGCTGTGATTGGTTGTTGACTCAGCCTTGTTCATATTTTCTCACGGCCCATATTAGTGACCTAGACCTTAACGTAGATTAGTGCCAACCAATCGGCTAGCAGCCTGCTCTCACCACACTCGTCCCCCCGTCAAATAGCTTCGTGCGCAGACGTTCCGACCTTCTGGGTGCTACATCCTCTAGTTGAGGATTGTTACTGACCGGCTTGTCCCACTGTACCCATCTTTGGAGCTGACTGGCGTTAACTCGTTTCTGTTTATCACCTCTTCGGATGGTATATACTTGACCCCGTCTTTTTGTGATTGTGTATGGTCCTTCCCACTTTGGAAACTGTTTGCCTGACCCTGTCGAACATTCGTCAGTATTTCGTCTCACACTTTCATATGCTGCTTTCACCCGACCTCCCAGCAGCGTCCCAAGTAGCAGCTCCATCGCTGACAGGTCTTGAACGCCACTCAACTGCGCAGAAGCCTTGAAGTCCTGCCCGAAGATCCATATGTCTCCATCAAAAACAGCAAGGCATAGGCTTTCCATTTGTCGGTAGGCAGCGACACTAAATGTAACAACAGAAGACAAGGGCGAAGCAACAGATCGTTTTATTATGAAAATCAACACGTATTTATACATATTTCAACTACATTATTATAGACAAGCGCAGCCATCTGATTGGTTGTTTATCAGAAGTTAGGTAGACAAACGCAGGCTTCTGATTGGTTGTTTCGGGATTCCTTGACAAATAGAGTTCTCTATCTGCGAATCATATTTTGCCACGTTAACTTTGCTGTGATTGGTTGTTGACTCAGCCTTGTTCATATTTTCTCACGGCCCATATTAGTGACCTAGACCTTAACGTAGATTAGTGCCAACCAATCGGCTAGCAGCCTGCTCTCACCACACTGGAATGCATAGTGTGTGAAGCGTGAAAGTATTAACAAATTCAAACGTTTGCGCCTGCAAGAAATAAACAGATAGCACATATACTATTCTCGAAGCTTTTGTATTTTAAGCATTATTAGAAAAGTGATGCTGATAAAATCACACAGTGTTTTACAGTAATATATATACTGATAATGACGTTTCGAACACAATTTATTGACGCTCATAATCATATCAAGGCATCACTCACACAACTTCCTTGATTCGTTTATAAACATGAGTAAAAATTGATGATTAGACAATTGAATAAAATCAACATAAGATAAAGTACATGCAAAAATAATATTAGTGTTATCAATCAAATACAGTCAGATGAAAAAATAAGATGTCTCTTACAGTACAAATATGTGATTTGTTAGAATGTTATAATACGAATTGAATGCATTTCAACATTATCTATTATCCTCTAATTTGACTGGTAATAATATCTTCCACATCTCTTGGATGATAAGAGGCTGTACCGTGTTTAAAATAAACTTAGTAGAAGTTGTTATGTCAGAATAACCTCGCCTAGTTAAGTAGCTCACTAGTTTTCTAGCCTTTTCCAAGTCGGGGTAAAGAGGGAGGGCTGAGAGTGAGCCTAGCGACTCTACACCACAAAACTATTCAAACTACCACGGAAACTTCAACGCACAACAAAAATATGAAAAAAAACACAAAACGTAGATAACAGAGTAACACTTCGTTGAGTTTGGAGAGGCGAAATGACGCGGGCTGGTAAAAGAGAGCCTTCAGGAAACCAGACAACTGATGTGTGTTCTCTCTCGATGAAAGCGAGAATAAGAATGGGGACGTGGAATGTCCATACAATGTACGAAACTTGGAAGGCTGCTCAGATAGCCAAAGAAATACGAAGATATGGCTTGGAAGTGCTGAGTATCTGCGACAGCAGACGGGATGGATGTGGATTATCAAAATTGTCAACTGAACAGTCAGTTATCTACCCCGGTTCGGTCACCCAGACGACAACCACCACTGTTATCAATAAAACACAAACAGATGGGATATAAGGTGTTTTTATTGTCGAAATAATTTAGAATGTTATAATGTGAATCGAACACATTTGAACATTATTTATTATCCTCTGATTTGATTGGTAATGATGTCTTCCATATATTCGGTATTTTAGTTGAGTCATTTCTATTGCATGTTTTGGGTGTAGACTCGGTGAATCAGGATTTTAAAAAGTAATATAGGCAAGCGGAGAGAGAGATTGATTACTGAATCCTGGTTCATTGAGTCTACACCCAACAAATGCAGTAGAAGTGACTCAACGCAAATACCAGAGATATGGAAGATATTGTTACCACCAGTCAAATCAGAGGATAATAGATAATGTTAAAATGTATTCAATTCACATTATAACATTCTAACAAGTTACTTATTTTGACTATAAAAACACTCGTCTTATTTCCCATCTGATTGTATTTGATTGATAACACTAATATTATTATTTCTGTATGTACACTATCCTACATTGATTTGTATTCAAATAGCTAATTATCAGTTCCACTCATGTATATAAATGAAGCAAGAAAATTGTGTGAGTGGTGGGTTGGTGTGATTATGAGCAGCCACAAGTTGTGCTCAAAGGGTTATTATCAATATATATTACTGTACAACACACTGTGTGATTTACCAAAATAAAATCTTATCCATAATGGAGTTATGCTATATCACAGTGTCCAAGTTTTATGCTTATATCAATAGCAAAATGATGCTTGTCAAAGAAGACGTATCTGCAAGCTTCAACAAGACATTTAAGTTCCACGAAGAATTTAAAATAGAACATCCATAAAAAAGCATAGCCATGCATACTTCGATGTGATAATTTATATATGACTATATATTTGACTACTAAGTTCTTAGCTTTGGAAACACCACGTTCATCAGGTTTGTAACACAAATTGTGTACATCACTTTCCTTCGTCGATTCTTCCTTATTATTTATTGGATTGAATTTTTGATTTTCCCGTCGATTGTTTGGACCGAAGTGCTCGGTCTCAGGTTGACATGTTGGCTTCTTGTGCAGATGCTTCGATGATGTCTGGGCGTTTGAAACTATGGGTACTGGGTTCGAGCTTCTGTGGGAACGTCATCACTCACTGAGAAATGCAGGTACATCCAGATGACGAGTCCCAAATAGGACGAAATGCGCATCCTAGATTCCACTGCTAGCCACCATCCACCAATTGTATACTTCCTTATTATTGTTGAGAAGACCAGCATTCATTTTTGACTAATATCAGCTTATAATATCCATTATTACTATTAATTATTAATACTCCCTTAGGTTCCAAGTGGGAAAATATTAGGCTTCAACAGCACATCTGTGTTTCATTCTGTTCTCCGAAGGCCTCTTTAGGTAGCTTCAAAATCGCTCACAGGCTCTTCCCTATTCTTCACACGATGTTCATTACGTTAACCTCATATGAACACTAAACTCATCATTTCCTATTTGGGTTCTACCCAACAGTGTATCACTTGATGTGACTCGACGATCTTCATACAATAACATCATTTTATATTTTACCAAAAATCTTGCATTATCGTCAGTATAATCATAATCATCAAATTCCTACAAACCAACGCTTGAATATAATCTGATGTTCACTAGTTACTGTCCGTACTATGTTTTCTTGCTTTCGTGTGGTGCATTGAGGGAGTGTGGCAACTCGAACTGCTTCACATCTGTGCAAAGTTCCACACTGAAACCGGTCAGTCAGTCAAACTTTCTTTGAATCAATTTTCTCAGCTTATTGATTATTATTTCATTTGGTATATCATCTTTGAAGTGTAGTCGTATATATATGAAGGCTTATTAAGAGATATAGAAGAATTCTTCTTTAGTCTCTTGGCCATGTGTTTAGTGATGAACTTCTAAGGGTGTGTGTTTTCGATTAATGTGTCATATACAAGCCTTAGTTCGTCTTCAGTTGCATCCTCTGAACAAGTAGGTCTAATCCTGTAGCTGAGGGTCTTTACCAAATGCCTTTTATACGGGAGGAACAAACCTGTGAATATGTGTATGTTGACTGGCCCAAGCACTTTTCTTATGTCGATTCCTTTTTATGCTACCATCTAGTCTTTTTGTCAGTAAGATGTCTAAAAAGACAATCTTACTTTGAGATTCTTCTTCACAGGTAAATCTGATAGCTGAATGTACTTTATTGAATTGAGGTATTATTGTATTCAGTCTTATTAGGTTGAAATTGACATGCTGTACATGATCCTATTGAAAGTCGTGTAACTGGTTACTTTGGTTGCAAATCTTTCTGCAGAGAATATTTTCAAATGCTTTAAAATCCTTGTTACGAATTCAAGCAGTATTAAATGGATAGGGAATATTCTGAATATCCTGAAACCAATCAAATCCCTGCAAACCAACACTTGAATATCAGTCTTATTCTCACTGATAACTGGCCCTATTCAGGTAGGTATTTACCTGGGTTCTAGTGAGAAGTAGTAACCCCTGGTGTACAACAATTCGAGTGCACGGACAACTACTTCCCAGCAATGACACTGGCTACTGACCGCGCTATATCGTGAATTAGTAGAAGTTGGAATTCATTGGCTGACCATTGGATCCAGTTCCATTACAATAATAATAATAAACTACGAGCTCGCCTTCTTTCCATGGGGTCCTAGGTTCGAACCCTGGCGATGGGTGCATACTGCAGACAGTACTCCCAACTAGTTTTTCAGTGCTTCTCTTAACCGATAAAATTCTGAAATCAATCAGATCCCTGCAAACCATCGGTACTTATTTTATTGACAAATCAGCTAAAATCATTTCACATTTATTGATTTTTCCCCCTTCCAAAAGAATCGTACAATTTAATCAGCTAGCTAGACAGTAACACTTAAGTACATTGATACAAAATTCAATTTCCTCTCTCATGCCAAATAATACTAAAAAAAACAGCAAAATGTTGTTTTATTTTTTATTGTTGTATTTTTATAAGACTATTTAATGGGAGAGAATAATTGTCTTGAGAAAAGAGAGATAAAATAGAAACCCATTAAATATCATTTAGTCAAATAATCGATTAAAACAATATTTGTTCAGCTTTGTTTTACTTTTTTCTACTACTTATTTAAGAGACAGCTGAGGATAGTTGAAAGGAAGTCAAGTTGTAGGAATATATTAGCAATAGTATTTTATAAATACATATAAATAGATTTTATCATAGATGAGAAATATCACTTTGTACAGAATATATTTTTCTTGAAATATTCTATTTAACAGCAAAATGAAGCATTTGCCTCTTATCTTTTCTGCTTCAAGTAAATCAATATCATGAATATTATCAAAGGTTATATTGAGGTAAAAATTAAAAGGAAAAACATTGAGGATTATTTTCAGAAAAAGTTCATCCGATCTCTCCAACTTTCATGGTCTTAATCCCACCCCCCTGTGTGCTTAAGTATGATAATCGCAAATCGTATTTTTTCTCTGCCAATATTTTCGTTTTGTTTATTTAATTTGTATACTCTTGCTTTATGATGTCAATTGTTAGTTACTATTGCTATTCTCACTTTGAACTGCCCCGGTATTATTTTATTCGTTCCACTTGTTATTCTAAATCTATTTTGTTTTGCCACGTTAAATTGTATGTTATCGAATTTCACACAATGTTACGT